ATATATATATATACAGTATATATACATATTCAACAGAGAAAATTAAACTAGATAGATAGATAGATAGATAGATAGATAGATAGATAGATAGATAGATAGATATGTCTGCAAGAGATCCCACATTGAAAGAATTAAAGACCTACTGCAGGAGACCTAATGCTAACCTGATAGTACCTGAACTCTCTCCTGCAGCAGGCCTCAGACAGCAGGGAGTCGTGAAACTGGCATCAGTACAGAAACTGTAAAACTGGCACACAATGCTCTTCCAAAGAGAATTAAACTTTATTCCACATGCATCTATACAAAACAAAACAACCGCTGGCGCGTTTCTGCCTTACTTGGCCTTAGTCATAGCTGGTTGTCTCAGCTTGGCAGTGAGCCTGGAGTTAGTAAGCTGCAGGAAGTTGAGCTGAAAGGTTGCTGTGGTGGCGGGTATCAGAGCTGGGGGCAGGAGGTGTGTATTCGCTCGCTGTTGGCAGTGGAGCTATGATGAAAGCTGGCAAGCCTAAGGTGAGCTGCTCATGTTTTCTAAGCTCCAAAAAGGGAGTTGTGCAGAGTAGAAAAAACATGCCTTCCCAATGTGCACCCTGCCGTAAAGGCTAGTTATAGATTCATGCAGGCACCATATTTTTTCTAGTTTGACTATTTTTGGTTGAGAGGACGCACTGGGGTCCCAGCGTGCATTTTTGGTTGCTGGGCCTCCAGTGCGTCCCTGCACCATATTAGGAGGAGTTGGCTAGCTCCTGGTACACCTGCATGCAATCTATATCGACTTCATTAATATGCTCACACTTGGAGACTCGGATACATAGAGTTAGGACCACACTTTGCAGAGGTGCCTTGGCGCGGCAGTGTGGCTTCTACATATTTTTGGCCAAAAGTTTGTGCAACTAAAACCTCTGATTTTAACTCATACTGTTGACAGGGCAATTTGTTTGGTTGCAGGCTAGCTGGCAGGTAAGCTGGGGATTTTCTGTGTTTTGTATAGTTGTGCAGAGTACTGGGCAGAGAGATACAAAGAGCAGCAGATAAATGGGTCAGGAAAAGAGCCTGAATGGGGGTCAGGCTCACAAGGAACAGGTTTGGCATCAGGAGGAGAAAAAGGATTAATATCAGGATCGGGATCACAGGTTTCCAGGACGAGCAGAGAGTATGGGTACACAGTAAAAACTCTGAGGTACCCTGAGACTTCAGGGGAGGACCTAAATAGTTAGTCTCCCAATATCAGGAGGAGACCAATTTTCTGGGAACTGCTGGCTGCTGGGAGACACTCGCTGGTGGACACTAGAACTTCATGCTTCAAGTCCAAGGACCACAGTGTCACCAGCAGGTAAACGGGTCCCTGACACCCTTCCTATGAAACACTCGTATAAGGTTCCATTACCTATTTTGAGAGAAATGCAAATTATCACTAGATAATATTTTAAACTTAGTAAAACATGCACAGTTGTTTGGATGTGCATTTTTTTGTTTCCCTGGTTTGCTTTGTTAGATGACTTGTATAGACAGCTCAAAGAAAAGGTCACACAGGAGTATTCTGTGAAACATGTTGTTAGTTAAAAGAGGTAATTAAATAAGAATGTCAGTGGATCTGGGAGGCGGATGAATCAAACACAACAGTTAATTAGTCTACAGATAAATAATACTGAGAAATAAAGATAAAGTTTAAAAGAACAAATACAGTTAAGGCTGAGTGCACATTAACCCATAGTAGGACATCGTTTCCCAGGAGAGCCATCATTAGTACAAAGTGCATATCTGACACTGTGAGCAGCATTACTGCACAACACAACAAAGCAAAAGCTTCACTAAACAGTTTTGTGTTTTGAGCCATTTAACTAAGAACGCAGCATTGAGGAAACACTCAACCACTTGTATGGACTGAGCTCAAACAAAAGAATTCTGTTTTTTAATGGCAGAGCTCTTCAGATCCCTCATTATAATCTATGGCTATATATCAACCTGTGGGAGAAAATAGGATAGTGAAATGCAAAAAAAATGAAAGCCTTATCACCCTAAACCCTGATCTATAATTTTATAAAACCTTGCCTAGTGTCTATTTAAGCCAACCTCCTGCCATATTTTTATGTACTATATTTTAATGACCAAGCTGCAGCCTCTGCCACCTGCTGGATGCTACTCAGTACTGCAGAGTGCTCATGCTACAGGTACACCCCTGGCCTCAGTCAGGAGTGTTTAAATGGAGTACAGATAATTCAACCAGTGCCTGACCAAAGTCTTGCTACCTGGAAGGTTATTTCATACTTGTGGATTACTTTTTGTTATTGACTCTGATTTACTGTTTTTACCTTTTGCCTGCCTTGATCTCGGCTTGTTCCTTGCCTATAATTGCCTGCCACCTTCTCTGACCTCCAGCCTGACTAGTTCCTGTCCTGTAATCCTGCACCGCATTTGCCCCTGTCTGTATAGTTGGTTGTCAGCCTTCAGCAACCAAGATGTTACACTGCAATGTGTGAAATATATAGGGAAGGGAATGATTTGAACCTCCTCTGGGTTTTTCTTGCTGTGTTTGCCCTTGTTGGGAAGATTGTTTCCTAACTTCCAGTCCTGTTGACAGCTCTGCCCTGGTCCCTTCAATGACTCTGGAGGTCAGCATTGTAGCCAGTCATCTTATATTTTCATTAGGAGGTCAGTTATGGCAGCCTCCATATTTTTCTCTTGGCATGCTTCCTTTAATTTTTGTCTTCAGAAGTACAAAAATTGGACAAAATAAATAGAAATACTGATTTGAAGTTTTATGTATAAAACCACAAAATAAACCAATTAGCACTATCTTTGAGGCGATGTACATATTTAAATCATAAGCAGACTACTTACCCGATACATTTTTTCACCCTCCAGGTAATTTTCGTTCATGATGTCTCTTCTACATACCGAGTTCCCATCTTGTTAGAGGACCAGGGGATAATCAAGTATTTTAAACACAGACTGAACCTTCCTATTGATGATCACCAAAGCACACAGCTTCTCAAGTGGAAAAGAATGGCTGACAGGTGCAATGTGTTACTTAGTTGTCTGATAACATGAATCGTGGACAAGAGAACATCTGTTTTAGATTAGAGAATCATGAGAAAAAGATAGGGGCTGCCATTGTTGACCTCTTCAGTGAGAATGTTGGCTCCCTGGTTGTAATACTGATTAAATGGCTTCAATACATTCTGGGTCTCCTACTTGGAACACATATAGAAATAAGGAATTCTGACATTTTTGTGAGACTTACAGTGTATGTTCTGGATCTAGAGAGAAGAAAGTAAGTCACCAGCATCCTGATATCTTTATTATCAGTACATCTTTATTGATGTTGGATAATCATGGTATCACCAAAAAGTGACCTTTTAGGACTGCACAGGTTCCATTCATCACTCAATAATGTGATCACATTATTGCCCAATGAAGGGACCCTGTGTGGTCCTGAAACATTGCGTTTTTCTGTAAAACTATGATTATCAAATGTCAATAAAACATATTGATAATAAAGATATCTGTGGGCTGGTGACTTACTTTTTTCTCTGTATACATGTGGGACCACCTGCTGTGTAACGCTTGCCCCCAGGGGTAACGACGTTATTGGACCGCAGCTGTGGTTCTGACTTCCCTTTTCGGATGAACGGGTATCAGATTGCAGCTCTCCCTCTGATCCCGTAATGTGGATAAGGCTAGGAGGGAGCTGCTTCACATCACGCCCCGTTAGCAACCTGTTAACCCTGTGGATCAACTACAGGGTAAGTATGGAGGGTAGGATATTGAGCAGGTATGGTAGTTCAATTAAGCATAGGTTTAGTAAGTAGTTAAATGGTATCAAGCAGACAGGTTCATAGGCATATGACTTTTAGGCAGAATAACTTGCAGCAAGCAGGCAATGCATATAAGCATATGATTAGTAGGTAGTTAACTTGTATCAGGCAAACAGGGTCATAGGCATATGATGTTGAGGCATAAATAGCTAGTAGCAAGCAGACAAGGCACATGCAGTAAGCATAGGATTAGTAGGTAGATAACTGGTATCAGCAAAACAGGTTCATACGCATATGATGTTGAGGCAAAATAACTAGTAGCAAGCAGACAGTTCAATTTGCTTTGAGGAAAGTGCTGTGGAGTTCACTACCATAGCCATACAGCTATGGCTGGTATACTTGCAGTTCTGTGGAACTCCCTCTAATGGGAGAGGGTCGCTGCAGCACTCCTTTCCTTCGGTGGTGTTGGGATCCTGGAGTAGCAGGGGGATGCTGGTTTGATCAGCGTCCTGCTTCAACAATAGTGGGACGCCGATCAAACGGTGGACCGCGGCTTTATGCCGGCTGTTCGAGCGAGTGGGCGGAGTCTTGCGGCGCGCCTGCGCAGTGACAGCGACGGACGCTGTCCGGGAGTGGGAGGAGCAACACGGCGCGCCTGCGCAGTGGCGCGGATGGATCGTTCTCCCGGCCGGGGTGAGATACGCTTGTCACATGCTGTCACTGCAGCATTCACCGGGGAGATTACAAGTAGGGATGCACCGATACCACTTTTTTAAGACGGAGTACGAGTACCGATACTTTTGATCAAGTACTCGCAGATACCAATTACCGATACATGGAGCCGTTTCCTGGCCAATCAGGAAACCGGGCAGCGTGTAATGATTCGCTGCCCAGCTTCCTGATACAGGAAGTACTCGTGCTAGGTATCGGAGCATTTGGGCGAGTACGAGTACTCACCCAAATACTCGGTATCGGCACCGATACTGATACTAGTATCGGTATCGGTGCATCCCTAATTACAGGGGACACTTGTTCTGGGTCTGTGACTGAAAAGTACTGAAGCCAGTCTCAGTTAGGCAATTACCATCTTTTAAAAGAGGGCCAGCAGTGACAGCCCCTATCCTTTGTCATGACAGAGTCACTTAAAAAAAAGCCATAGCAAAATTAAAATAAAATGTACCTAATATAATTTAAGTTCCACTTTATTAATGCAAAGAATATTAGAGCCGCCAGCCCAATCTGTCTTTTTACATATACTATATGGAGATGGCAAATCATTGATTTTATGAAAAAATTTATTTTGCTTCCTGGGGAGAAATCCTCACAATCTCCTCCAGCCTACACATTTTGCCTTATTTCTATTGAGGCACCAACAATTTCAGGCAAATCTAGACATGCAAATGTGTATAGACTCACATCACAGGATAGGACATTTTAAATCCTATTTGATATTAAGGCTGCAAGCTGTTTCAGATTTCGATCACTATTATATTAACCACATTGTTCAGCTTGTAATAGCTCTAACGTAGGTGCTATTCTGTCATAAAGTATATTGATCTTGTATATTACTGGATAGTAGCTCTCTCAGTGGGAATTTAATATTATCTCTCGTTGTTTAATATTACGAAATATGTGGACTGCAGTGCTACAGAATATGGAGCATTATTTATTGGAAAAAATCAGGAACATAAATAACAGCAAATAACACCAATTTGGTGCTTAGTGTAAGTAGAGCATTCCTGAGCTGTGGCAAAAATAATGGCTCTGCTATTGAAATGAGAAAGATGTCTCAGCTTGTGTCCAGCAAGATCCTCATGTTATTTTGGTTATTATTATTCGTCCTCTGCAGTTTATTATTCATCATAATTAAAAAAAAGGAATATTACAGTTAGTATGTGATCTTTGCCAAACTATTCTGCCTGCAGGCTTGGATTCATGTTCTATTACGGCCATTAAAAATACATTACATTTACTTGCAATGTAAAGGCAGTAGCATGTAGTAGCATACCGCGTTGCCAGAGATCAGCCTTGGTTTCAAAGGGGTCCAACGATGCCATAGGTTTTATGATCAATAGTAAATGGGCCTGGCACGGGATCTATATTATAAGAGGATAAAAAGGCACCATTTGTACAGACAAATCTCATGTTACTTGGAGGCAGAGGGTTAGTGTATTAGCAGAAAGGTACCATGTTGGCAGGGATTCAACAAATATATTCAGGGACTAAAAGGTCTACCACTGGGATGTATTACTCCTATAGAAAAACCATGGTGCTTGGATGGTACTACCAGAGAAAGCCATGTTAACCAGAAAGTGCCATACTGTAACAGCGATGACAGTTCTCTTGCCACCTGTAGAATACAACACATGCCTGCATCCATAATTTACCTAGTTTGTGTTTGTGATTACTTGAAGCTTCCCGTATAAAAAAATTAACTATTGGGAGTTGTGTATATTATGTAGTCCAGAGTAGAAACTAGGAACATCAGGCAAGCTAGTCCTGTAACCTGTAATGTCAGATACCCCACTATTATTTATATTTAATGAAATATTGTACAATGAACTAGGAAGATGTGCAAAGCAGAATACACATAGAAACTATTTAAGTTCCACCATGATGAGCCAAAATCAAATTCCAGTTGGTTGCATTAAGTTATAGACCTTTTTGCATTATCCTCAGTGTCCAGGTTGCCTTTTTGAGGTATATTAAACTAAGTATATGTATCTAATTCAGAAAATAAAGCAAACTATTACGTATTTTACCAAAGTATCTGTGTTCTAGTTATTGTACATATACATTATGTAATTTGAGACCATTAGCATCTTACAGTAATGTAGTAGCTCAATATGGATAGGCATACAGTGGGGTTGATTTACTAAAGGAATAAAGCATGTTCACATTGGAAAGTGAATTTTCACTGGGCTGTATTTCACTTTGCAAAGAATGCCCACGCATGTGCAAGGCATATTTTAAAAATACGATCTTTGCTTGCAGACGATTGGATAATTGAAGTCAGCACAGCTTCACCGAATCCACATGCTGTAACCCCTTTATGCCAAATGCTTATGCCCAAGAGGAATACCATCAGTATCCGCATACAACTTAAAACTGCACACATTTGGGTCTTGGGATCTTGGGTTTCTCAGGGGAAAAACCATTGCAAGAATCTTGAGTATAGAACACATTTCAAATTTACAGGATTGAAAAATGTTGATGTTTCTAAGTTATCCTGCTGGTTTGCTTAAGATTGACAGTCTCAGTAGGCATTAGGGATTCCTTTTTTCATATGGGTGCCTATGTGACTGTATCCTAAGGGCTAAAGTAAATGCAAAGCAGAAAGCAATATACAATGCTCTTTGTTTGTCCTGTCTCCATAAATGCCTGCTCACATCCAGTCTTACAGCAAGGCTTATTGAATATGTCAGAGTGACTGACATTTTTCTTCTAAGAGTAGAGCAAATTGATGGCTGAGCATCCATCTCCATCAGGCCAGTGGTGGGAAATGGTACAGGCATTACAAAGAATACACTTCCAAGTGTAAATGTCATCTGATGCAAGGCCAAGGAAGAAGGTGCATGCAAAGGTGTGCTTCTAGAGAAGCATCTTTTGTTTTTTATAGCCCCAGTTAGTTATTTTGTTAAAAAAAGAAAAGGTCATCCCACTAAAAACTTGAATCACCCATGCCTTCTTATATTTAAGAATGGTTCCAATAGAAGTATATCTTCCCTTTGTTTTTAAAGTTAAACTCCAGGGAAATGGCTAAATACACAGGTTAATTACGATATAAGGGAGCTGCTTTACTTGCCAATAGATATGCATTTCTGTCCCTCCAGTTCTGAGAATTACACAGCTCTACCACACAGCACAACTCTGTCTTACAGTGCAGAAGACCTGATTTTTCTCTGCTGCAGTTAAGCGACACTTACAGGTCATCTTGTGTCTGAAAAGTGTTAGGAGAAGCAATAAACTGATGAGCTCATCTCTCTGTCACTCTGCTCTTCCTTGTGCTGCTTCTTCCGCTCCCATTCTAAGCTCTGCTTAACAGGAGATTGCAAAAGGCTAATAGCCAAGTATTTAAATACTTAAAGGAGATCTATGAGGTGAGTGATTTCCACTCATCCTTGTAAAGCCGACTGTCGGCTTTACAACAGAAGCGATTCAGTAAAAAAAAAAAAGTTTTTAAAATTAAATAAATCTAACAATAATTAAAAAATATTTAAAGTCCCCCGCCCCCGTGAGCACGCTCGTCGCCACGTAAACACGCGTCGGACTATATTGCGCAACATAAAAATTTGCAACTACCTCCATTTTATTCTATAGGGTCTTGGCATTCAGAAAATATATAATGTTTGGGGGTTTTAAGTCATTTTCAGGCCTAAAATGTGGAATATAACATGGGTGCAAAAAATGGGGAAAAAAAGGCCTCAGTCATGAAGGGGTTAATTTTATTTCTGGAAACCCCAACTGCAACATCAAAGATACTCTGACTTCTTTTGCTACTTTTCTAGCTTTTGATTTTGACTTGTATGAAAACAAATAATAATATAACACAAATCAATAAACTGTTTCCCATCAGATATGAACGATTGCTGCAAACCTGTTCAATCGCCCTGGTTGGAAAATACACAAAGCTGAGTGATTGCTATACATCTGTCTTCAAGGCTCTGGAACACTCAGCGCTGGCTATAAATCATAAGCTGAATTTAATGGTAAGGATTGCTAAGGACTCTCGGGCAGGATGTTATGCATGGTGTTATTACATTATGACTATAGATGTCCGCTGCGGCCATAAATGCTAAATGAGGCTGTTAAAGCAGTAAAGATGTGCTAGGTGTAGTAGGAAATGACAATGAGTCTCTTTACAGTTTACTGTAGGCAAGGTGAGACATTGATTTATTCTGGGTGGTATGGGTAATACTTTTTCCTGTTTTATCCAAATACATGAAGTATAGAGAAGTATATACAATATGTAATTCTTTTTTTTACTGTTGCTTTCTTATCATCGTGTCTGTGAAGGTTCTCATTCATCCAGGTCATGGTATATCTGTAAAAAATAAGTCAAGGCAACTGGACTTGCTGTATTTTTCTTGAAGATGTTTCACTGGTTATCCAACCAGCTTTCTCAATTCAGAATGACTTGTACAAAAAATATCTGGAAATAAATATGGTGAATGTTGCTTCAATCCACATAATCTGTTAATCACAACCAGGTGTTGATTGCATTTGCATAATTGGAGCTCGGAGGTTTTATTATTATTTATTAAGTTGATTGGATGACCAGTGAAATGTCTTCAAGTCCAGTTGCCTTGACTTATTTTTTACAGATCTACTTTCTTATCATCATCTGCAGGCAAGCTGAAATTTCTGGTCAGGCTTAGAAAAAAATGTCTGCTGAAATGAGAGAGTAGAGTCAGAGTAGGGGTCATTGACATATGAATGATTGGTTTTATTCCCTATCTGCTGTTGTTATTTCTTACATGACTGTGGGTTTGGAGCCTGTTCTTTAGACTCAGTGTTCAGGCAAAAGTCAGCAAGTTTTCACAGGCAGGACGTAGAGAAATCTTTATAGCCTCACAGAGAAGGGGAGGCTCAGACTTCAGGAACACTGGTCAGACTATGGATAAAGAGCAGAACATACATCTTGTAGGGGAGAGAACCATCCCTTAATTGCTGTTGTTCTTACCTAAGAAAAACAATATTCATGTTCTCTCCACATCCTTCTCCATTGAAAGTGGCCTGGCAAGTTTGGAGTGCTCATGAGAGCTCAAAAGAATTACTGTCTTTAAGATAGAATAATTGTCGTCTAATGCAACCTTTCTTAACTAGGGCTTCCTGGGATTCTAAGGTTCCTCCAGAGGTTGCTAGGGGTTCCTTGAGTAGTGAGCAATTGCAGATTGACATCCTAGCAAACCAAACTGAGTGGGACCCCTGTAGTCACTGATCTGTTTAGCGTTAAGGAGGGCTCTCTATCCACTGACCGACAATCTAAAGAGCATTCTTCATAGTGACCTTCAAAGTTTTTTATATTCATCCAATTAATCCCAATGTTTGCGTCATTCTTCCCACTGACCCCCAATGTAATGGTGTATTTTCCCCACTGACCATCAATGTAAGAGGGCAGA